AGCATAGAATTTTTTCCTATCCAGAAAATGCGTCTTATACGGTGAGAAGTCAGTCAGCATGTGTTGATTTCTTAATGATATGTATGAATATACAAAACATTTAAGGATATAAATAGAGACGATTCATTTGCCTAAATGTCATAGACAGAAGATGCCTTCTTTTTTCATTTGTTTTTTTTCTAGAAGATTAATCATTTGACAATTCGACGCCATCGCAAAAGACAACGATAAAATGTCGCAGTCGTTGTTACTATTTATATTCAATAGTAAGTTGAGATTATTATTTTCTTAGTTTAAAAAAAAAAACATAAGTGGACATTAATATGAGAGTCTCTTAATTTCATTTTGGTCGTTCGATTGTTGTATCAAATTATCATGAGAAAAAGAAAAGATCCATGACAAACATATTAAATGAATATAATTTCCACTTTAAAATAAGTAGACAGAATATATTTTTATATCGGAAATCTTATCTTAAGTTTCATAATTATCTAATAAAAAAAAAGAAAAGAATATCAAAAGAATAATTCATTAATCTTTGAAATGATAACTTGTTATCATCTTCATAGTCAAATATAATTTTGAATTGATTGAGAATAAATATATATCTTGAATGTATCATTTGAAAAATAAATGAATAAAATCAAATTTTAGGAAAAATATCAAAAGAGATAAATATAATCTTTTATTTTATTTTATTTTAGTTTGTTTTTTATTGATTTTTATTGATCGAACAGTTTCAATCCGTGACAGTCCTATTATTCAATTATCTGTTTATCCAAGTTATGGTTTTTTACCTGAAAATGTTGAAATTCGTTGTCAAATAATTGACCCATCAGTATATGATAATATTTATTTATCAGTTAAAACAGATTATATTAAACCATCAGGTATAATTCTTATGGTTGATAATACTATCAATCGATGTCGAACAAATAAAGAAGAATATATAAATGTTAATATTTGTAATTCATCATTGATACATATTTATATAAATCATACAATTCTTAATGATACTCTTGAAAAAATAGATTACGAATGTAGTCAAGGTGGAGTCAATGCGATAAGTTCATATCAAATATTAAGTAAGCAATAAAAGAACATTGTACAAAAAAAATTTAAAAAAAACTATATATTTGCTTTTTTTTTTGTTTTATTTAGAAGATCCAACAGCACGTTATTATGATTTGAACTTTAAAAATTCATCATCTATATTGATACACACACTTTTTCTATTACTATTTGCTCTCCTATTTGCAAGAATAACGACAATAGAAGAACTACGATGATCGTTACAGAAATAAAATATTTATTGGCATAGTGTGCCTGCCTCTGTTTATGGATGTATGTGTGTGTCAGCCTGTGATAAAAAGGATTTTATTCTTATTTTGAACATTGAAAATTTACATGTTACATAAAAAAAGCTATTATTTTTCTTTTTTTTTGTTTGTTTCTAATTTCTTTCTTGTATATTTATCTTTATCTAGAAAGAATTTTAATAGTTATTTTATTCCAAAATTTCCTTTGTAAAATGAAAATAACCTTGTTAGATATGGATATATTTAGACAATAGTTGAGAATGAAAATTATTGAGCATATTGCTTGTTTGACTATTTTTTTTTTCGCCGGTTTACTGTTTTTTGTTTCTATGTTTTTTCTCATATAAGTGAATGATTTATTAATACTCATTTACTCTTTTTCATTTTCTTTTTGTTTTTTGAAATATACATTATCTCTGACTGATAAGCAGAGAAAAAATATTTTGCTCTTTTAAATAGCAACTAACGGATGATGATAAAGTTCCTGAAAAACTATCGCTTTATTTTTCATTGCCTAAAACATACTTTGGTACAATCAAGATTACTTATTCGGAATCTACATTGAACACTATTTCTAAATGTGGATCCAAAAAAAAGATGCTATCGCGTCTTGTCATTGAGTAAATTTTTGAACAGCAGAAAAATATGCTCTGAAAAAACTAGTTCGAAATTGTTGTTGCAACGTTTTTTGTGACTTGTGTTCATTTTATTGGGTAGTGTTGATCTTTTCTCTATTCAATTCCTCATTGGAATTTTTAACGAACCATATAGAAAACATTATGGTATTGTTTCAGATAACACTGGAAAGTTGAATTGCGAAGCTCTCGCTATTTTTCAGATCGATGTTTGTATTCACTCTTACTACAAGTCAATGATATAGGAGTTTTGATGTATTTGTGTCGACAATATCATAGATTTTCATAAACCAGCACTACAACAATCTTGCAAAATTCGTATAGATTCACCTCTATCTTTACATTGAAATTTTATCTATATTTCGTCAATCTTTGTTTTCATTTTTTTTAATTATGTTAACTAAAATAATCTTGTACTATTTGCTGCTAGGTTTATGAAAAATCTAATGAAAAAGAGAGCAATAAAACACAGTGGATTATAAAACAGGCAATCCAAATTTATGAAGAAATCGCTTTGTTCTTCTGTAGCCATTCCAAGCTATTTTCGAAGGACACATTTTTATGTTTTTTTTTAAAGATTTGCTCAATGCTCATAAACAAAACGTGATAGAATATTTTTGAATACACAACTAGAAAGAGCTGCTAACGTAAATTCTGCATAAATGTTCTTAATTTTTTTGCAGTACGCTTTAGCTAGTGAAAAATGAAGCGATATTTTTCCAAGAACTTTTATATGACCTGTTCATTGCACTTCAGTATCACAATGTGGACATAATGATCAAGGATTTTTCCGAATTTGGCAATACATGCTGATCAATGTCGTTTCTTTGTATTTGTACAGCTCATATCAATTTAAAAAAAAAAAAAAAACACCACCACAAGGACATCGTATTTGCAAATCAAAAGCTGTCGATAATCTATCATATAATGAAATATATTACATTTGAAAGAGTACTAGCTTCAAAGTTATTGTTGAAGCAAATCTTTTATATTATCGAGAAGAATCATCTAAACCACAATGTTATGTTTGTGTTCGTGTTCAAATATAGTTAAAAGATGCTGATGCATCATTAATAAAATAACAATTTGAAAAAAAAAGATTATATATAATTTTATCTTGTTGAAATGATACCAAATTTAAAAACACGTTGTAGAAATCAATAAGATGGAGGAAAGAGCAAGAAACGTTAGACATTCTATAATGAAATCTTCTTTTTATTATTTTAAAAAAAGTATACATGTATTAGTTCCATTCGGAGATGATATATTAATCTCGTCATCATTTTCTGTTTTTAAATTTGTAAAATACGAGAAATGTTTGAGATCTGAGTTGATGAAATATTTTTATTTTGTCAAAAAAAAAGAAAGATTAGCGAAGTTCTCGTCGCTGCTTCTTTGAAAACATAAACAAATTTAAGGTAAATCATTTAACGTCAAAATCGATTTTTTTTAGATGACTACACTAGATATATACACAGTACAATTTGTTTCTGTGATCATTCTATGTGATTTTGGAGGAAAGCAGTGAATGAAAATTTATTCTGATTCATAGCAAATTCTATCAAGTTCTACACCCTTAGCTGATTGATACAAGATTGAAGCATAGTAGATTTTCGATAATACGTTTAATTGTGGATTACATAATCATAGTAAGTATATCCTAGTCCAAGTTTTGACTGTATATACATCCACTGTTCTCGTTTCAATCTCTAGTGATTCTTATTCTATGACTATAAATTATCATTTATCTTAGATATCCATCAGATCCAATTTATGGCTGATAAACTGGTACTCTGTTATCTGGTCGAATTGCAAGCAAAATTACAGAGTAGAGACTTGAATATTGTTTTTAGTCATTGTTGCCCTTGATTAGAGAAAAGTCGAAGACAAAAATCATGAGTCAAGATTTTAGATTGACTGGAATTTTTTCAACTTATTATTTTCTATTGATTTCTAGCATTTATTCTTGATCAATTTAATGTATTTAAAGCAAATGAAGCATATTGAGAAATCTTTTATTTCGTCTTAGTGATTTGTATAAATAATATCTTCTTTTATTGTCCGTTATAATGCGACCTGAAGTAGAATGAATTTGACACATTTCAATGACTTTTAATGCACAATACATATCTGATATCAACTTATTTTACTTCTTTATCTAATGAAATTGTTTTCGACTATTCGAATGTATTTGATTCATGTCAAGGTGTTCAAAAGTTTTGGTGAGATAAAATGTTAACGATATAATCGACTGTTAGAAATTTATTGTTACAAATCTATTGATTTTTATTTGACTACATTGTCGACTTTTCAACTTTTTTTTTGCAATAGCATGCTCGACAAATTTCCACTGAGCGTTGAAATCTCGAAACTCGATCATCGTAATTGCTACTACCAGTTACGCATCGCTCCACAATATTGCGTAGGTTAGTGAATAAAGAAAACAATAAAGTTAGATAAAGAAAGTATCTGCTAGACAGGATGCGACAATGCTACATAATTATTAAGTAAAGCTAATCAAAAACATGTGGACTTATGACATTCACCCTTCTGTTTCTTTCCTCAAAAGAATTGTTCTTTTGCCTTTATATTATTTTTTAGTTTTATCTCTTATTTTAAAGAAACATAAAAAAGCTGAATTAAGATCTCCAATATCTGATAAAGGATTTTATTAGATGCAAATAATTCTTGTAACATCTTTGAATAGTAACTATGATATACAAAAATAAATTGTTTGTGAGTTTATCGATTAAAGCAAATCTTAAATAAATCTATTGGAGATTCACTTTGTTTGTTTCATCAAAATTATTTAAAACCATTTCTTGACCATTAAATGTATAATACTATTTGCAGAATATTGTATCTGAATGAAAACCTTTCAACAAATGTATGATCTTTTAGAAATTTATCATAATCTGATAGTTTGACATACACCAAGATCATATTTTTAGTTGCAATCTTCTCTGTACATATTTGAAAAAAATATGCAAAACAAAAACTAATATCAATATTTCAATTACTGTACGATTTCAACAGAAAAAGACTCATGTTAAGTATTTTTACTCGTATAACAACATTTTTATTATGTATATTGGCTGTTTGGAATTATGTGTTATTATTTCGCCGAACATTTGTTATTACATTTAGTCAACGAAATACCATACATACGCTGTAAAAATTATTTCCTTATGTAGTTAAATATTGTTAAATAATTTGTTTGGTCCAATCAATTTTTTAATGTCAACTTGTTGTCTATCCTTATACATACGTTTTCATATATAAATATTCATTGTATAATATAAAATTCTGTTGACGAAGAAAATAGTATTCATTCTGGGAAGACTCTGAAGAGCCTAACTATCTTGCTTTTTCGCAGCTAAGTTTATTGTGCATGGTTTCTGGTATCTACTGTAATCTTGATTATGAGATTTCATGAAATCAAAGCAAAATAATAGATGTCAAATTTATTCTATTATCCCGATCAATGCAGTAATATTAAAGATAAGTGAAAGATTGCTGACAATAAGGAACAAAGAGTTCAAACACTGTTTGTAATACAATATTTCCTCAATTGCAATTGAAATTTCAGAGTTTTAAGGTTGTGTGGTCCTAGTGAGAAACATCTTTGATAAATACTTCCAGCTCGTTTTAATAATAAGAGCAACTACCGAACTCTGATTCACCTCAACTTAAAGCTAATCTCTATGCAAAACTCTCGTGGCACTAACATATTAAAATCACGTATTGATATGTCAAGTGTTAAATGCCGGTACTAATGTAAAAACTTCAAAAAAAAACCATGAAAATCTCGGATAATATGGTAATAGGACTTACGTCTCCTCCAAAGAGTTCGTTAAAATCTGACTGTCGAATGAAGAGCTACGACTCTTATGCATACGAGAAAAAAATATAAAAGTAGTGAGTCTTAAATGATCAAAATAGTTCATTGAACTTTAATGATAAAAGATTGAATCGAATCAACAATATTCAGTAGAGAATAATCTATGTATAACTTTTTTGATATCTAAGCTAATCGAATGAATACAATGATTTTTATTTACACTACTGGCCATAAAT